TGGGCTAATAAGAACTCTTATCAGCCGAACATCACTCTAACATTCTAACATTGTGGTCTTTATGGTACCAGTGGCCAGAGATCATTGAAAAGATTTGAAGTGAAACATCTCATACTTTAAAGGGAGGACAAGAACCTTGTCAATGTGATCTAGCAAAAGAGGTTGGGATTATTTTGGGTTTTAAACTAGAGGCATTGCTTTTTATTTAGGTTCTTTGAGATTGAACTAGTCAATTTCACATAGACCTTCTGAAGGTCAAGGAGCTGTTTGATGATGATTGAAGTAGCTGAACTGAACAACTTATTGTTTTGTCTTTTAGTGGATCCAAGTCAGAGTGGCCACTATAGACAAAAGAAGCCAAAGATTAGGTCTATATTGAGGCCAACCTTCAACATTGGGTAATGGCCCTTTAAACCTACCTGACCATATTAATTAATTCATAGTACAGTTTGGGATAATCTCTCAATGGAAAATTCATATGACACAACATTCAACACTCCTCTATCAAGAAGCTGATGGTTAGTTTCAACTGAGGAAATTGAACTAAGATTTAAGAGTTTTCTCGGCCAAAATTTTCCCAGTTGGATGTCCCTATCAATCCTGCATATCCACATTTTCTTTGCCCAAACTTTAATCGCATATTGTATCAATCATCAATACAAACACAAAAGATCAGATGAATGTTGTTAAAGTTAGTCAGCAGGGGTAGTTTTGTCCTTTTTCTATTGTTTCTTCTATTCTGTCTTCAGCTTATATTTTAGGGGCATAGTTGTAAATTTGAACTGTTACTGAATAGAAGAAGTTTATCATGGGTCGACAGAGCGCTAGTCTTCTCTTGACTGCTCTTCTCTTTCTTCGTTTCTCTTTTTCCTCTCTACTGTTTTCTTCTTCATTTTCCTTTCTTTTCCTTCTTCCTCCTTTCTCTTTCCTTTTTCTTTTTATTTTCAGGTCAGCATAGATGGGACCATTGAATAAATCACATTTCTTTCCTTCTGTTTTCCTTAATCTGTTTGGGTTAGAAGACTATCCAAGAGGGATGGAATGTGAAAGGCCTTATAAAGAAGCATTGTACGTGTCATAGATGGTCTCAAATGGAGGTTGTACATGTATACATCTTGATCAAACCATCCTTCTAGTCCAGTCTGTCTCTGGAGTCTGGACAGGCTCACCATAATCCCCTCAAACAGATTTACTGTTAGGAAAAAAACAAGTAATTTGTTCTTAAACATAAATAACAAAATGGAAGTAGTAGAATGCTTACATATTTGTTTTTGCATGATGCCTATCATGTTTAAAACGCCATGGCTCATATGGGTATATAAGGGGCAAAAAGGCCAATGTTCCAACAATGTCCTCCACTAGTTTGTTCCTTGAAAATGATTTGTGAGCACAATCATGGCCTATTACAAAGAACTTAACAAAACAAAAAGTAATAAGATCCTGGGGAAAAATAGCAAGAGAAATTGGAATAACATTTTAGAATCTAAAACAACAGAGAAAACAAATGAGGGGGGACTTACTCCAGTAACGGCAGTTCCAGTCCAAGCCCAAGCCAAAGGAAGCAGATACCATGGAGCTTTGGAGATCATGAAAATTCCCAATGCGTAAGAAGTAACAGAAATTAAAACTGACTTCCAAGCCTTCACATCATCAATCTCAAATACCTTTTGGAAAAATATTCATTATGTGTCAGACAATGCCATAAATTCTGGGGAAAATAATGCGTCTATAACAAATACTATTTTGGTGGAGAACTTCAGACCTCCAATCTTGCAAGAAAATTAAGAGCCACTATTCACGCTTAACTTAGACTAAACTGAATGATCTTAATCATTCAATAAATATTAGATGAAATACAATAAAATTACAGGAAAGTGGATTCATCAGCTAGTATCATTTGATCAGTTTGTTTAGGAACTTGGAGTTCTTGATGGGGTAACTGAGCAAACAGAATGTGTTGGTTCTTCAACAAATACACCATGTGTATGGCATGGTGAATTGGCAGAAGTATGAATATGAGGCTTCCCTAACCTTAACCTAAATATGTCTCGCTTTTATCACTCCATTAAGAAAAGATACCTTCTTAGGAAGGGTGTCAATGATATCCTTCAATGTAACATTTTCAGGCAGTGGTTCTCCAATTTGGGTAAAGCCATAACTTTTAGCTAGATGCTTTCTTTGCTCTGCACTGTCTACTGTAGGTGGCTGAACTGGAACTGCCACAGCCTGTACAATTCTAGTGCCTCTGTGGTGAGATAAAAATTGATGTCTCCTTCCTCCTTTAGGAAGGATTCCCCACTTCACATGGCATATACCTGTTTATGATTAGAAATCATATTAGTGCACCTGTAAATGCTGGCAGGAGCACACCCATAAGCTATAGTCAAAGGAAAATAATAAATATATGCTTTCTCTTAACATGCTGAAGAAAATCTCAGGTTTCAATATGAACCAAGGACAAGAGAAAATGGAAAACATATTTCAGTGCATTAAACACTACTTTGAAATAAAGTATCTTAGTTAAAGATACCACAAATTATTTTCTTCATCCTCAGTGAAGTAGAAGTAAAATCCAACTATGTAAAGTAATTCACTCCCTTCTTTTCTTCTACTCTGTAAATTCTTTTTAGAGGGAGGAGGCCCAGTTTGGCCACCTCTTATGGCTGAGGAAAACACCTAACAAATTTTTAATGCATAATCAATTTTTTTTCTTAGGTACAATCCTCACCTCAGGAATGATCAAAGTCTCAGAACAAAAAAAAAACAATAATAATAATGAAATTCAATGATGAATATGGATTGTCTTCTTTCCAAAAAGGGCAACAAGCAAGTATGTTCAAATGCCTTTAAGAAAGCAGGGACCTAGAAAAAGATGCCACAGCCACTAAACAAGTGAAAAATGTTCTTATTAAAAGAGAAAAAAATACTGAATTAGTGAAGTTACGAACTTTAAGAACTCCTATTGAATTGGACTAGGTGTTGATTTAGTGTCCTGTAGCAAGACAAGCTCAGAAATTATGAAAATTGCTAGCCCACACAGATTTAGAATAAAGAAGACCAATAAAACTGGACATTGTAACCAATAAGTCAATGTCTAACATATTTGAAGAAAGGAAATATTTTCAGTGCCATGTCATAACCACATGAATCAACGGGAGCATTTGGAATGAATACAATATCGGAAGTTTCTTGAGAAATTTTCTAGGGATAGTTATACATCTTTGTATACAACATAGAAACGTGATATAGCTAAAAATGACAAAAGGTGACCCAAGTCAGTGGAAAATTTGTTATGGACAAACAAGTAGAGCAGGTCAGAAACAGTTTACATATCGGGTACAACAAAATCAAGTTGGGATCTAACTTGTCATACAATGGCATTGTAGTATTAAGGGCTTGCACAATCTCTTGCTACTTGGGTAATATAGTTATATAATTAAGAGTCTGTCAAGAGGGAAGCCAAATCTGATCCTTCATAGGGATTAAGTTAATAAATAGCGACTTGACTGTTAATTCAATTGCATAAAAACAGAGAATAATACAATTTCTAACAAGCAGTTTTATTTCTCTACCATTTACCACGACTGGATATTCTATATCTATCATAAAGTGTTCTAGCAGAAGCCAAAAAAAAGAAGCTGAAATCCCATTTGGAAAGAGAATCTAAATCAACAGCCCAATTAGAGAAAAAGATGCAAAAGGCATGTTAATTGCTAAAACAAGCAAAATGAACTTTTGGGTTGTGATTAGCGAGACAAAGGAAACAAAAGCACCTTAAAACTGAAACCATATACATACCATGAAAACATTGCGAGGCAATTCTACTTCTACGAACTCTCCCTTGGTGGGGGCCCTGAAATCAAAAGAGTGATAAATACATAACAGCATTAAAAAAAAAAAAAGAAAAGAAAAACAAAGCATGTACAGAGATATATGTATGGAGAAAGAGTACTGTGAAATAGAATCCCGAGTCTGCAAGTCTGCACGCCATGAGCAGAACTGCTGAAGCTGAAATTCCAGTTCACAAGTCCCCCCACCCTGAATGGCAGAACGAGAAACAGAACGAATGGATGGACGAGAAAGAGGGAGTTAATTGGGAGTTTGGGACCCGTATCTACGCTTTTCTAGCGATGCTATAGACGGGGGCCCACCACATCCTCTTCCTAGATCCTACTTCCTGGCCAATCATCTTTCTTCTTTCAGACATGGTGATGACGCAAGATATCACATTGGCGCCCTACAACGCGCCCCACTGGCGCCCCACCGCACATCCAAGCCTTCCATTGGGAACACCTCCCAATAACAAGTACGGTAAATGTTTCCAATGGATGCGCAATGTGCATGTTGGGCGCAGATATGAATGAATTCCTTGCCTGGGCAGCGTAAGCTTTCAATCACTTGCCGAGAAAAGGGTATACAACTACACACTCTTTCTCCCGGTTTAAGGTATTGAACTCTCCCATTAGTAACCCCACATGTAGGGGTGTCCATAAAAAACCGAAAAACTAAAAAACCAAATCGCAAAGTGCAGTTAACCTAACTGATCGGTTTGATTTCGGTTTGGGGTTCGATTTTTGGTTAACTTACAAAAAAACTTATAGTTAACCGAACTAACCGGTATATATATTTTTAATATGTCACATATTTTTTATGTATTATATATAAATATATATTCATTATATATAAATATATACTTATATTATATTTATAATGATCTATTTATAAATATATTATATATTTTTCAAATGTTTATAATATATTATATATCATTTATTATTTATTATATAATATTATACATATATTTGTATAATATATATTATAAATATAAAAAACCAAAAAACCGAAGAACTGAACCAGTCAAAACCGAAACTGGCAGATCGGTTAACCGGTGGTACCGGTTTGGTTTCAATTTAGAGAATTGAAAAAACTGATACCACCAGTTCGATTTATGTAGTGTACAAATATATATAAAATAATACAAAATATAAGGTTTTGTGTTCTGCATATTTGTACTTGCGTTCTATATATTTTCATAAGGCTATGTATGTTTTTTCATATTTGTATTTGCGCTCTACATCATACATTTGGTTAACTAGTTGTTAAGTGGTATTTGAAAAGATGCAAATGTCTTTCAGTGTCATCTAATTCTCTTTGTCAACCATCCAAACATTAATAGAAATGAACAATCCTAAATCCTTCCTTCTTCTATTCAAGAAAATTGGGGTCACCAAAATGTCCCGCAACTTTCTTGAATAGAAGAGGTAAAGATTTCGGATTTTTCATTTTTTGTCAACGTTTGGATGGTTGATAAAGAGAACTAAATGACACTCGAAGAGCATTTGTATCTTTTCAAAAGCCACTTAACGGTTGATTAACGACAGGTACTGGGTTGGCATATTTTAAACATTTGAATACTGAATTATCATATTTTAATGTTTAGGGACCAAAGTGGCACTAAACCCAAAATATAGGGTAATAATTGAGAATTTTCCTTTTCCATAAAATGATCTTATGCTCTGTTTAGGAAGAGTGTAAATGCTGATTTACTGCACATAACAGTTAAATCGTCTGCACACTCTCCGGACATTTGCTACAATATCATATTGTAGTTGGTGGCGATGAGATTCCAATAGCCTGAGCTCATCTCTGAAGTAAATCTAGTTCAAGCAACTGATTAGGGAAAAGATTATGGTAGGGGTGAGCATTATTCTGTTAAAACTGAATTACCGAATCGAAAATTTTGGTTTTGATTTTTTTGGTTTGGTTTTTTTGATTTTTGGGTAATTTGGTTTTTAATAATTTCGATTTTTGGTTTTAGTTTTCAGATTTAAAAATTTGGTTAACTGAAAAAAAAACGAATTAATTAAAATTTATTATATAATATACTATATATTTATATATTAATACATTATATATAATGTATTATAATAAAATTGTCATAATATATATTATAAGTTATAATATATATATATATATTAAATTCGGTTTTTAATCAAAATAACCTAAATCGAATGCTCACCCCTAGATTATAGATTATGGTACCAAAGACGAAACATTGGGGTCGGAAGGGAGCCAAGTTGACCGAAGAGATGATCCTCGTCGTCTTTTGTAACATGGATCTTGTATGAAGATCACAGTAGACGCAGCAGCGGTGATGGTAAAGGGTTTATTGCAAGACAGGCAGCTGATTCTCATCGTCTTCTATGACCTATATCTTATATGAAGATCACAGTAGACATGGCAACGGCGACAATAAAAGGGTTTCTGGTAGGACGGGTCGCAGTTGCGAACACCTACAAGACATATAGAGCAAACAATTATCGCCATCGTCAAGTCCTAATGGAACATACGAAAAGTCGTTTTTACCCTTACATTAAGAAAGGGCGTTAAATAGTAAATTACTATTTTAGCCCTATATTTAACAGAGCTGCAGTGGAGAAGAACATCATCGCCTACAACAACCGTTGCAACTTCCGTCCGGCGGTGCCTTATCTCCGTCGGGATTAGAATTGTTCAAAGAGAAGGCATCTGATGAGGGACACGGTGCATCGAGATTAGGATCGTTGCCCTCTTCTCTAGCGTTTCAACTACTATCCTATGGCAAACACTATATCCACCATGGTCTGATGAGGAACACGGTCTGACGAGGGACATGTAGGAATGAGGAAGGGAGAACCAGAGAGAGGGGAAGAAAGTGAAGCGTTTAAATCTGTCGCGGCGGTGACAAAAATAGGGGGAAGGAAAAGAGAGAGACGAAGGGGGAGAGAAGAACGGAATCGAGAGGACGAAACAGGCGTTTAATTTCGTTGGGGAATCTCGAACGGAAGAAGCAGAGATGGCGGCGCTACAGACCTTCTTTCCTCCTCTACCATCGGCATTGCAACTCTTAGCAGCGAACCTCCCTCACCGGACCTCTCTCTCTCCTTCTTCTTTATCTTCTTCTTCAACCCACAGCTCAGATCCCTTGTTTTTCCTCCCTTACCATTGTCACTGCATCTACAACAGAACATCATAAGCAGGGCTTGCATCGTTGAGCTGGGGGGAAACGGCCGTCAGCTTGCATGCAAACCATTGCAACATCGGCTGGGTTGTCGACGACGGAAGGCAGTTTAGGCGATCTTGATCCCAACCGAAACACAGTTCGGATGCAAACCGATACATGGCTCACCTTGTCTCCAACCTTTCGACCGAGCAATACAGCGGCGACAAGTTTCTCCCCCGAACTCCCCATSTTCTCTCATTCTCTCTCTCCTCTTCTATCTTTCTAGTTGTCTCTCTCTCCTCTAACTAGCTAACACCCGAGAATACACACTATTCACCTTCATCTTGAACCTCTGGACCGAGCAACATAGCAGCGACAGAGCAGCAGCGAAACCTCCTCCCTCCCATATTTTTCTCTCTCATTCTCTCTCCCTATCCATTTTTGTCCAACGAGATAATACCCCAAAAACCTAATCATTGTCTTGTTCATTGGAGAACCAGCGGCGACAAACCGAGCTCCCTGATCCACAGTGCCGGCAATTCCATTCTTTCTCTCTCTCTCTCTCTCTCCCTCATTTTCTTTCTTTTTTTCATCTTCGATGTCTTTTCATCTCTTTCTTGTCCCCTATTTCTCTGTCACCACTGAACCTACATCAACGGAGCCCCCACTAAACTTGTCATTACTAAGACGCACCATTGAAGCCTCTGTATAAAAACTGCCCTCAAGTTCTAAAGCTGTGCTCATGTTGCCAATTTGCTACATCAAATCTTCCCAATCCGACGTTGAAACAGAACTAGTAGTGGCGGTGACATTTCTCCAATCTCTCATCTTCCTTTCTTTTTTATTCTTTTCTCTATCCACTTCCATCTTCCCCACTCGTCTATTACTACAATCTCCAACGATTGCCAATCACAGCAACCTTGAACCAACTCTAGGACCTAGTTACTACTCACCGTTAGCAATGGAGACTGGAGAGGCCTCCCTGCTCCTTGGTTTTGTTCCAATTGTGTCAGATTGAGTAGACCGCCTCTGTTCTCTGTTAAGCCATTCATCAACAGCTCCAGTCAAGCTGTATCCTTGGATTCACAGAAGCAGCCTGCGGTAGCAGTTTTTAATGTTTTCATCATCGTGTCAAATTGCAAGGTCGAAGGCACATCTGTACTAACTTCCATTTCTCACCAGAAATGAAAATCAACTGGTTTGATTTTTTTTATTGCTTCTCTCCATCACCGTTCTTATTATTTTCCTTTGAAGTGCATCTTGTAACTAGCTCTCGCGCTCGATGATGAACAGTGGCCAATGGAAGAAAAGAAAGATGAAAAGAAAATGGGAAACATAGGGGAGGAGAGAGAGATAGAAGGAGAAGACGTTGTTGATCCATTGGGTTTGAGGCTTTGGGATGTGCGGTATTATCAAAGGGTATTTTAAATATAATTTAATATTAAATCAAACATATGAAATCACATGTAAACGGTTTGTGATAGAGACTTGATTGGAAAGGAGTTATGTTATAAGTGTTAGAAATAACAGGGATACTTTACAATACCAAAATAGTACGGATATAGTTAATGAATTTCTTAAACCTTATAGATGGATACTTTGTCCTTTTTTATCTATGGGTTTCCGAGAACAAGAAGAAAATAAATGGGAGTTCTTGGGGTTGAAGGCAATTCTTCGGTTCAACTACAAAGAAAGACAAGGAGTGGAATAGTTGTGCCACAAGATAGCGTCGGGGAGTAGGGAGTGGTTCGATGCAGTTGTTGCTGGCTATGTTCATCGAGCATAGAATTATTGTGCTGGTTGCATCATATCCTGTTCCACCGTCCACATAATCTCCCTGCCTCCGCCCTCTCTTATTCCACCCTCCTACTACTAATAGTAAAGCGTAACCTAGTCCTCCTCCTCCTCCTTACTGTCTTCAGTGTGCAATCTAGCGTGCCGAAGTAAGGCGGCACCACCCCTGCCTCCTACCTTCATGTTCATCACCCTCATCTTAATCACATCTACCGAGTTCGACGCCACCGTGACCATGAATCCCGTCGCAAAATAATAATTTACTATAGCTGTCGTGTTAAATATAGGGTCAAAAAATAGTAGTTTACTATTTCACACCCTTTCTTGAAGTAAGAGTAAAAATGACT